TTCACATTACAGACGCCGTTGAGGTGAAGATTCTGATCGGCGGGAAAGGCTCGGGCCCGGGGCAGTTTCAGAACCCGCGAGGGGTAACAGTGGCTGAGAACGAGATATTCGTCGCCGACGTGTTCAACCGGCGAGTCCAAGTGTTCAACTTCGACGGCGTGTTTCTCCGGCTGTTCGCTCCGGTGTGTAATAAATAAGGTCTAGTGGTAGTTTGGTATCTTAGCGTCTATATATATCTTATGAAAAACTTAAACTTTTCTCCAACTCAAATTTTGACTCACCAGAAATTTTCGACTGAATCACTCAGTCTTCCTCAGCTATCTGACCCAAATGCTGTGGACACGTGATTTTTCCCATGTGTGACGTCAGCAAAGGGTTAAAGGTTGTCTGAAGTCGATATCGCCCCCCCCGTCCCGGTTGAGCGATGGTTGAAGTGCCCTGATGTATATGGCCTCTTTTATGCCTCTCTTGAAGTAATCCTGTTCGGTTTAAGTTTTTCATAATGTAATTTACCAACTCAGATGAACTTTCATGCTGATATATATATATCTTACTATAAACAAGATTCAAACAGTTCGATTACTTCTGCTGAGCCGGGTTTTTTTAATCCGTATGTTGACTCTACTACAGGCACATGTGGTCTAATTGTTACAAGGGAGTTTAGCACTTAGATACACAGAGAGTCACCAATGGTCTAGGATTATACAGATGAGGTACTAACAGTTAGACAATACTAATCTACAGAGCTACAACTATACATGTACATATACCTGAGTCCTCGGTCCGAACTGACTTACAGAGCAATTGTCTCTTCCAAGCTCAACTATGCTAACAATAGTCCTTCACCTGATTGGTTGCTCTCACCAACCAATCAGGGCCTACCTACCGCGCTAATATATGCATATCTCTCTATAACAAGTCTCTCATTATGGTCACTTACCATAATTATGTTTACCGAAGGAAAACATATTGTTTTTGCTCCATTTCTTCTTCTGTTCCAAACACTAACCTCTGACCTGGCCAATGGTCTCTTTTGTTGACGTCTGTCACCATAGTAACTGGTGTTGGGTTACATACTGTTGCAATTTGCATGCCCCTACTCAATATCATAGTAGGCATTTACATGTAGACCTGTCACCATATACATGTACATGTGAATGTGTTTGAGTAAGAATTAACAGAGCAGACCATATACGAAGGTAAACATTATGCATTTGCTTTGCAAATGTTACTTTTCTAGTTACAATAGTCATAACCGTTACAGGTGTCAGACGGCCATGTGTTGACTCCGGATGACGTTTCCATCAGCGGGGACGGCAGCCTGTGGGTTGTCGGGAAGCACGCCTCCGGCGGCGTCGCGGTGAAGTACACCAAAGTCGGCCTATCAGTCGGGAAAAGGATCCCTCTGCGTCCATCGGCGTTCTCGCGAGGCATCGCCGTGAACCCTAAGAACAGCCGCGTGCTGGTGACGGAGACGGACGGCCGCGAGGGCCATGTGCTGATGTTCCGGCCGGACGGCACGCTGGAGCGCAGGTAAATTTTTAAACTTTTAAAAATTAAAAAAATTTTTTTTTTAATTTTTTGA